ACAACTGTCTATGAATGTGAAAGCACCAGAAAATATATTAAGTCATACGCGGCTGTCATCCGTACCCAAGGAAGTAAGCACGAGATGCCGAACACCCTTAGCAGGATGCAGCGCACCCTTCATGCGACTCGCCGAATACCTCACGGCGCTTCGCGCTTGGTGATGTGACAGCCTGGTCCGGTGAGAACCCGGCGTGCTCAATCCCGGCTTCGTAGGGATGCGGAGTCAATGGTCTGTAACGACTACGGCATGCACGACTATGAGTACCCCCCCCCTAATTCTTGCGTCCCTCACTCAACCAAGGTGACAGGCGCATACCGCCGGTAAGGCCGACTCGGGTGGCAACACCAATGCTTCCCCGAAAGCCAAGAGACACAAGACTTTCCCTCGACGGCATGGATAACTGCCCGCTCACAGCGATCGGATCGTGTGAACGACTTCGCTTCGACCGGACCACGGTCTGGGCATCCTCACCATCGAGGGCGACATCTTGTGCAAGGAGAAGCGGAAAGAGGCCACCGCCGCCGCCGTCGCCGCCGCCGGCCTCAACCGCAGCGGCGGTGGCCTCTTTCCGCTTCTCCTCGCAGGCGATGTCACTCTCGATGGTAAGGACGCTCAGGACCGTGTTCCGGTCGAAACGGAGCCGTTCGCATGAGTCGATCGCCGTGAGGGGGAGGTGATCCATGCCGTCGAGGGAAAATCGGTGCCTCTTGGCTTAAGGGGAAGCATTGGAGTCTCTTGAAGTGTTATTTTCCGTTCACATGTTCTTCGCCCCCGCAACCCCCCCCCCTCTCTATCCGCCCCCCCCGGTGTTTGCCATCGGGGTTGGATTTTCGTCGCTTGGCAACGACGTTGTAAGACAAGCCGCCCCCCCCGGTGTTTGCCATCGGGATTGGGTTTTCGTTGCTTGGCAACGACGTCGTCAAAGAAGCCAATTCACTTCGTGAACTCGGCAACCAGGTTACCGGGTTTTTTTTACCTCGTTTTTTTTTTTTAGCGGTAACCATGAATGGTGGTCGAGTAGATCACGTTGTGCGGGGTGGATAAACCTCACTCCGCGCAAGGGGGATGATCGCACCACGTTGTGTTTAATTGATCAAGCATCCTCGAGGCAGCTACACAGTGCTTACAACTGTCTCTGGATGTGAAAGCACCAGAAAATATACTACGTCATACGCAGCTGTCATCCGTACGCAAGGAAGTAAGCACGAGATGCCGAACACCCTTAGCAGGATGCAGCGCACCCTTCATGCGACTCGCCGAATACCTCACGGCGCTTCGCGCTTGGTGATGTGAGAGCCTGGTCCGGTGAGAACCCGGCGTGCTCCGTCCCGGCTTTGAAGGGATGCGAGGTTAATGGTCTAACGACCAGGGCAAGCACGACTATGAGTACACCCCCCCCCCCCTCTATTCGAATCCTGCTCTCCCACTGTGTTCCCCGTTCCGTGGTCGTATCTACATATGCACCGCACGTGTGCCATAAAAATTTGTAGAGTCACTGCAAACCCTGTGTGCATGGTATCGAAATGTGTTTTGACAGATGGCTCGTGACCCCCAGCATTGGATTTTAATGTACATTTTCTGCATCAGTTTTGTGTGATGACCACAACAACAATAGCAACACCTAGAATCATTGTCCTTGTTCTACCAACACCCCGTTGTCTGATTGCCCTGTTCTTCTATTGTCCCTCCTCTTTCCGCTGCTGCCCACCGACAAAACAACACGCAGACGATCGACGTTGCTGACAGAGCCGCCATCGTATCAAACCGAAAGCACCTCCAATTCAAGGGCGTGCACTTTCATGTGCACGACAAGGCTACGCTGAATTTTTGGCTTCTCCATGCATGCTCGCCGAGAACCTGGAGGTACGCGTGTATGTCTGCGCCTTGTATGTTTGTGTCGGTTGGTGTTGGGGATGGTGACGCCTCTAGCTTCTTGTTTTTGGCTCTGTCATTGTTGTTGTTGTCACCACGGTGTAGGGAGACTCCAGGGTAACCCTACGACCTCCCGTTCCCCCGCGGTTTCCGCCTGTCGCACCTGTTTTTGCCTTAGCTCGTGGCGAGCTCGATAGTGCAAGCGTTTCTTGACAAGCCAAGGATGGGAGAAACGGCTCTGTTCCTGTTCCGTGAGAAACGTTTCGGAGCATTGCGTCATTCGAAGCGGCTTGCCGTTGATGTTGGTACGTTTTCAGTCCCTCCTGACATCAAAAATGGGATCACCGAATGCTACCGTCTACGTCGATTCTCTTGTCTCGAGGAACACGGATTTGGGCGGCCGCGCGCTCTCTCCGATACACTCGTTGAAGTGTTCAGGCGGGCGACGAGCTGCGCTTCCCCGTTGCTTCTTGACCATCCTCGACCGCGGCCACCTGGTGATGTGACCGTCGGGGGGGGGGTGGTCCGCAGGAAATCTCCTCGTCGCTACATGTAGTACAGACGGGTTCCAGCACTTTCACCAAGAGACGAGAGATGATCGAGGCCCCCCGGGAAGAGGACCTCACCGGCGGAGATTTACGATTGGCCTCGTGTCCACCCTGACCAGGGACTTTGATATTTGAAGGTGGGGAACGAAGGTGGAGCTGAACGTCTTTGTTGCCCCCGCAGAGCCGGTTCAGGCCGTGAGCAACCGTCGGGTCCGACAGCGGGCGCCTGCTTGCTACAAGAGCCGACCGCTACCAGGAGTTGCGCGCGCGGAGAGAGGATCGAGGTGTTTGACGAGTGGGTCTCTCGAGGTACCGAGGTACGGTAGACGTGAGAACGGCCGGACTTTTTCCTCGAGAGGTCCGGTTGTTGAACGCCTCCATCACCTTGTTGGCGCACGCCCTTGTTTCAGTCGGTTCTAGCAAGCAGGAGGCCGGCTTCGGACCCGACGGCCATCCGCCGGCGCCCAGGTCGAGACTGGTCATCGAGGACGGGAACCGCGGCTCCTCGCTAAATAGCGTGGAAATCTTGAGCGCGAGTGGGAGAGAGAGAGAGAGAGAGAGATAGAGAGAGAGAGAGGATTAGTTGGACAATCCGAGCACATGAAGGCGAAACGACCGCACCACCTCCGCCTTCACCTTCACCTTCACCAGCGGCGGTGACGACATGAGCAGCATGGTGGGAGTGGGACATCTTGCAAGGTTGTCTGCAGCATCACCCCCCCAACGGGTACTTGAGGAATGACGACGCCGTCCTAAAGGTGACAAGCACCGGGGAGGTGGTGGGCGTACAATAGTAGGCAGAGAACGACCGTGAACAATTAGAGCGCTCCGGAAGGTGCGATGAGTGAGGTCTTCGACTACGCGCGGTGGACAAAACTAACTTTTCAGCCTAGAAGCAAGGCGGGGGCTTTGCGGCCGGAGAAGCAACTGCAGATTTCAACACGAAATGTCGACCCCATCTGGTGCGCTGACTAAGTTACCGATCTGTACTTAGCAGCGCATGGAACCTGATTCGTTTGTGGAACGGCGTTTTTCCAGCCCCAGCACCTAGCATACGAAAAAAAAAAAACAACTCCAGGTTCTCGCCCAGGTTGATGCCCTGTTAGTTGTCGTCATTACTCCCTCCGCGCAGCCTTCCTCTTTTCTGTTCATTTTGTTCATGTTCAGTTCAAAGTATTGATCTTTGCCGAGCTGTACCATGAAATTTCGCCCGAAGTTGCCCGTTTTCCTGATTGTTTCATTCTGCCTGCCGATGGGTGACCGCGGATGTCACAAAAAGTCACCCTCTTCGTGTGAGGTGCATGTCACCGTCATGTTCTCCTCATTGTTCCGTAGATGTGTAATAACGTAATAACTAAACCGGCATGCGCTACACATCGCGCCGCATCGCCCGTGGCTGCCGAGTACTCTCGATCTGCACTACAGCTTTCAATGTAGGAATTCGTACCCAGGATCACAGATGGTGCTCGAGTTCTGATGTTTTGATAAATGTTGTGGTTTCCATAGCGAACCCCCGTTCAGACGGTGTGGTTTTTATCTGGTTGCCGGTACGTACGATACCAGGTTGCCTTCGTTTCCGGTCTTCGCAAGCACCAGCATAATAGCTTTCATCGCCGAAGGTGGGGGTAGGTTAGGGCTTGATGAATGTTGCATGCTTCGGCGGTCTACGGAGTTTTGTAAGCACAACAATATAATCCTGCCTCAACGCGCCGCAGGCCGTACGTACCGTACATACAACAACAGATATATACCTGCACACTACATACATGTAAGGGAGTTACGCTCCACTGACACACACACAGGTAAAATGTACGCACATGTACCTCTTTACGGCAGCTGAAAAAAAGCCCAATCTTGGGATTTGCGTTTCGGTGAGGTCGGTGAGATCGCATCGGGTGCGATCTTCCACCGACCTCAGTGCGGAATACACAGTAAGCACGCCGTTCCTTGTTTCACACCCCGGTGCCATCTCTCCGACGGTGCCATATCTCTCCGACTCACCAGCCGGGAGCGGATGCACAAGTCTTGAAGATCCGCTCGAATGCTGCACCTTGTTGCCCGGCTTACTTAGTAAACGTAGCCGGAGAGACGGACTGGCACAAACAGCGATGTGTGGTGGATGCAGATCGGAAAAAAATACAATGCACAGCTACCCTCTGTTAGCAGATAGATGTGCGGCCAAACGGCATGAATGATAAGCCGTGGCGACCGAAAAAAGAAGAACAAGGCTAGAGATCACGGAGGGACGGAAATAAAGGCAATGCAGCTCCCTCTGTCAGCAGGTGTTGTGCGGCAGAACGGCGTGATGAATGATAGAAGGGTGAATGAAATGAAGAACCAGGCGGACAGATCCCGGAGAGATGGAAATGTATGAACGGCAGCTCCTCTGTCAGCAGATACAGATAGATACACTGTATTCCGCAGAAGAAATGATGAGGTGATGAAAAGAAATAGAAACCAGCAGTCAAAATCGGAAGCTTCCCGTCGCCCCAACACCGTCCAAACCCTATACTACCCCTCAAATCCACGGCGTCGTGCACCACGGCTCTTCCAACTTAGGTCACGCTTTGTGCGACCATGCGCTACGACCATGGTATAGTGCTGGCACTCCTAGCGCGCGTCGTGGTCAGCACCACCCCATCGTGTGTCCCTCTGATCGGTATCGAAAAAGACGGTGATGGCACGGCGACGCTCAACCTCGACGACATGAGAGTGTCCCTGGAACTCGAGGTGTTCGATTTCAACAATGCAGTGGTCCCGGCACTGGTTGCATGCTCCTCAGGTTGGTTCAAGGCAAATATTGTGTATGTACGTGTGCATCAGAGTTGCCCTCGCCACACGCACATTAGAGAAGAACCAAACAAAGCTTTGGTAGCCTGGTGTGCGTTTCGCAGTCCTGATGATCAAGGGTCTCCATCAACAACGGACTTCGAACTTACCATGCAACCCCTTTCGCTGCCATCCCTTCATTGACTACATACACCAATAGGTCTGGAGACTTCCGTCGCTATGAGGACCCTACTAGGTGAGGCCCTTCTCGATCTTGTGGTGTGAGCGGCGCGCTCTCACCGTTGCGACTGTTGGTCGATGCATGTTTGAAAACGGAGATTCTACAATGTTGAAAGTAATTTTTTGGAGTTGCCCTTCTACGTCACCGACCACAGCGTAATCTTACCGCACTCCAGTAGTTGTGGAGCGAATACATTGCATTGTACGTAGGTCCTGTACCTGCTGTGGGTTAGGGCTACGGTTGCTGAAGGTGGCAGGAAACTGTAGGCTAGCTGGTATTTCACTGGAGCGCTGGGTGTGGCACAGTAGTAATGGGAGCAATGGGCCCCATGCCCCAAGGACGCGTACATTTATTGGTTATTTGACGTCACTTTTTCTTTGCTGTTGTTGTTGATAAGTTAAACTGTCCCATAGTCTAGTGCACTGGTTCGTGCGTGCGTGGGTGTATACAGAGTCTCTCGCCGGGCATAGAAGGGTCACGATCCCCTACTCCAAAAGATTAACTAGGGGGCAAAAAGGGAAAAATTAGGCAGGATGATCCAGTGCACGTGAACGCGGCTTCGTGTGCAGGGCAACATGTACGTTCGGACAAATGGAAAACACCACAGCAGCAGTGATGAAATGCCATTTATTTCTGTCACGGTTGTATCAATTTTTCCGACAAAAGATTCTTTCGCGGAGAGTCTTTTTCCCGGGATATGTTTCATATTCCAGCAAGTACATACTTGGAAGGCAACTATAAGATCGTGGGTATACACACTTCGGCTTCACGGTCGACGAGGGAAGGGATGGCTGAACGGTTCTCGCGATACACACCAAGGCAAGCACTGCGGGGGGAACCAACGGTGGGCCAAAAATCTACACGGAAAAAGCTCTGTGTGGCCTTCCTCTTGTGTCTCTTTGCATCATCCCAGCAAGGATGTGCAAGTACATTATCTACTGGGTGAATAATGCCACAGCGCGCCGCATTTCTGCTGCAGGAAAAACTGCTCTGTATCTGCATGCACAGAAAATAGGAAGGTTTGTTCGTCGAAGCAGATAGAATAAACTGGTGTTTATTTTGTAACAGTCGAATTAGAATTTGGCTTCATTTTCTACCGGAAACCCAGGGTCACGGTGTTTGGAATTATTAGTCTATAGTTGGGGGTGTCATTCCGTGATCGAGTCCATGCAGGGGCTGTAGCAAAGTCGGGTAACGTGTGACAGCTACAGAGCGCGTGAAGCAACGGAAGGACAGCAGCAGCCGCCTAACGCAGTAGCGGCGGCAGTTTAGAAAAGGGCGGGACGGGACACGGCGCAAGCATTGGGGAAGCGACCAGCACGCGACTCTCCATATAAAGGTGTGTACTCGTGTCCAACATCCATCGTGTCGGCCGTGTTCCTACGTATTCGCGTCCCGCTACTCTTGTGACCTCACCGCTGCGTGCATTTAGCACGAGGGGGGAGGGTGCAGTAAGATAAGCGGCGGCAAGCCACCGCAGTCTCGCTCTCCGCGCCGCTCAGATAGGTCCCTTCCCAAACATGAGATGCGGTTCATCCCAACCAAGACGTACTCTCGCTGAAGAAAAAAAAAAATGCGGTTCGTCCCAACCGAGACGTACTCTCGCTGAAGAAAAAAAAAATTCAACGGCAAAAAGAAAGAGCGGGGCCTGTTGTATGGTCGCACGCTGACTTGTCGCGGTCGATAGCAGCCATTGTACTGCGCGGGGTGGAGGAACCCTGCGGCATCGGACATAACCAATCGACCCGCGGCAGTAGGGCATGATGCTGTCACGAGTATGCACATGAGGCAGGTGCCTTGTTTTCTGTTTCCCCCGGCTTACTAGGGACTACTTGCCGGTACAATCTTGTCTGTGCCGCGCACATAGGGGCATATAGCTGAAGGAATCGACGATAATATGCTCACTCACGTAAGCAATCGTCTCCACGGATGGTATTGACAAGTCCCCACTGATGGTATCGACAAGTCCCACGGCATACAAAGCGGCCGCATGCGTAATCGGAAAGTGCATTCAACAGCATTCACGGGAACGGATAAAAGCAAAACCACATGCATGCGAGAGAAAGACTCAAAGAAAAAGACTGAAAAACAAAGAAGACGAGAAAAAAAAACGAGACAGCGAACTACGTGCTGTATGCATAAGGAAAAAGAAGATGAGAAAAAAAAAGGGGGGGAAGGTGAAAGTCACACGCGAGGTTCGACCTCGCGAAGATCGCCAGGTAACCGTCCGTGCGAGTGCATCACGGTCTCGAGGGGCATCACGTCAAAGTTATTGCCAGTGTGACACAAACCTTCTATAAGAATACGTCACGTCCATCGACGATTAAGCGACCGTTCCAAAAACGCCCGGACAGCAATTGATGCATGCCAAAAACTCGTCAACCTGCCGTAGGATTGTCTATGCGGAAGTGATCTCAATGGAAAAAAAAAACAAGGACACGCACCAGCACGGGACGCGCCAATAGTGGAAGCACTCGTCCGTGCTGTTCGCGAGTGGAAGTTAACCGATCTCAACGCAACGAAACACGAAGTCATACATGTATCAGCACGGGATGCGCCAATGAGTGGAAGCACCCGCGCTGTCGGCGAGTAGAGTTAACCGAATTCAACGCAGCGGTACAAAAATACCACAAATCATCGCATCAGTACGGGACGCGCCAATGAGTGGAAGCACCCGTGCTGCATATGTGATGTCAGCCTCAGCACGGGACGCGCCAACGAGTGGAAGCACTCGTGCTGTTGGCGAGTAGAGTTAACCGATCTCAAAAAGAAAGAACAAAACGCCGTACACGTATCAGCACGGGACGCGCCAATGAGTGGAAGCACCCGTGCTGTTGGCGAGTAGAGTTAACCGAATTCAACGCAGCGGTACAAAAATACCACAAATCACGCATCAGTACGGGACGCGCCAATGAGTGGAAGCACCCGTGCTGCATATGTGATGTCAGCCTCAGCACGGGACGCGCCCAATGAGTGGAAGCACTCGTGCTGTTGGCGAGTAGAGTTAACCGATCTCAAAAAGAAAGAACAAAACGCCGTACACGTATCAGCACGGGACGCGCCAATGAGTGGAAGCACCCGTGCTGTTGGCGAGTAGAGTTAACCGAATTCAACGCAGCGGTACAAAAATACCACAAATCACGCATCAGTACGGGACGCGCCAATGAGTGGAAGCACCCGTTGCTGCATATGTGATGTCAGCCTCAGCAAGGGGCGCGCCAATGAGTGCTGTTGGCGAGTAGAGTTAACCGATCTCAAAAAGAAAGAACAAAACGCCGTACACGTATCAGCACGGGACGCGCCAATGAGTGGAAGCACCCGTGCTGTTGGCGAGTAGAGTTAACCGAATTCAACGCAGCGGTACAAAAATACCACAAATCACGCATCAGTACGGGACGCGCCAATGAGTGGAAGCACCCGTGCTGCATATGTGATGTCAGCCTCAGCACGGGACGCGCCAACGAGTGGAAGCACTCGTGCTGTTGGCGAGTAGAGTTAACCGATCTCAAAAAGAAAGAACAAAACGCCGTACACGTATCAGCACGGGACGCGCCAATGAGTGGAAGCACCCGTGCTGTTGGCAAGTAGAGTTAACCGAATTCAACGCAGCGGTACAAAAATACCACAAATCACGCATCAGTACGGGACGCGCCAATGAGTGGAAGCACCCGTGCTGCATATGTGATGTCAGCCTCAGCACGGGACGCGCCAATGAGTGGAAGCACTCGTGCTGTTGGCGAGTAGAGTTAACCGATCTCAAAAAGAAAGAACAAAACGCCGTACACGTATCAGCACGGGACGCGCCAATGAGTGGAAGCACCCGTGCTGTTGGCGAGTAGAGTTAACCGAATTCAACGCAGCGGTACAAAAATACCACAAATCACGCATCAGTACGGGACGCGCCAATGAGTGGAAGCACCCGTGCTGCATATGTGTTGTCAGCCTCAGCAAGGGACGCGCCAACGAGTGGAAGCACTCGTGCTGTTGGCGAGTAGAGTTAACCGATCTCAAAAAGAAAGAACAAAACGCCGTACACGTATCAGCACGGGACGCGCCAATGAGTGGACGCACCCGTGCTGTCGGCGAGTAGAGTTAACCGAATTCAACGCATCGAACACAAAGTCATACACGTATCAGTACGGGACGCGCCAATGAGTGGAAGCACCCGTGCTGCATATGTGTTGTCAGTTTCAGCAAGGGGCGCGCCAATGAGTGGAAGCACCCGCGGTGTGTACATGTATCAGTACAGTCGCGCCAATGAGTGGAAGCACCCGTGCTGCATATGTGTTGTTAGTTTCAGCGAGGGACGCACCAATGAGTGGAAGCACCCGCGCTGTTGGCAAGTAGAGTTCACCGTATCCAACGCATCGATGAAAAAAAAACACGTATCATCACGGGACGCGCCAATGAGTGGAAGCACCCGTGCCGATGGCGAACCGGGGTTCACCGAATCCAAGAAAATATATATATATATAAAAAAAAAAGAGAGAAACCATCGCTAGTGTTCCAAAGAGAGAAAAATATTCGGGATTGGTCGACGTCCGGTGACCGTAGCGTCAGCAGCAAAAAATCACTCCATTCAATCCACAGGCGTCGAGAACGAACTAACGCGAGCTCGCGATATAACAACGCGTCGTTCTGGGCCCGACGAAAACCCACGTCAGATAGTTTCGCCCGAAGATAGGATTTGTAGACCATTCTAACTGCAGATCCAGGCGCGCGATCGACTACGCCCACGATGAAGAGGAAAAGAAGTGTTCCCGCAACGCCGCCCTGACGCTCGCCCGCCGCCTGCCGCCGGTCCGCTGCTTATACGACTCCAACCGCGACCAGATGCCGACACGGGCCTCCACGCGGAGCGGCAGGGCAGCGGCTGGGCAAGCAGGGCGAGGTCGGGCGCCGACACCTTCGACACCACGCACGAGGAGGTCTACCGCGCGATCGGTGGCGAGCTCGACGGCTCGCCCCTCGACGCGCAGCGGATCACGTACTCCCGCGAGGCGTCGAGCGGTATC